CATCGTGCGTTCACACTGTGGTGTTGTGTGAATAAACGGTAGCTTATTTAACCGTTCTACGGCTGAGGAGCCCTTGGAAAGCGTCACTGATCCAGGAGAAAATGAGTATTCTATAAATACTGACGTGTATAGGAACAGGACCCTCCACACGTCTACATAGCATGTTACGTTTGTGAAACATAAGACACAGAGAAGGACGTGCATCATAACGCTACAGCTTGGTGAACTGTCACAAACCAAACACCCATGTTTAACCGGCACCAGCCCAAGGAACAGAACAAGATCAACTCCTCAGAAGGCCTCCTTATGTCCCCTCCCAGTCAGTAGGCCCCTTTCAAGGTAACCGCTGTCCTGATTTCTGATAGCATAAATGAGTTTCGCCTGTTTTCGACAACACATGCTCTGTGTGTCTTGCTTCTTAGTGTCATATTTAAGAGATTCACATATGTACCCGCATTTGGAAGTAGACTGGTCACTCTCAGCGATGTACCGTATTCCATTACATGAATGTATCACCAATCACTGCCCCATTTTACTGCCAATAGATATCTTTTGATACACATTTGACGTTGCTATATTCCTAGGAAAAGAAGTGGTGAGCCATGGAGTGTTCCTATGTTTAACTTGAGCAGATATTGCCAGTTTTCCAAAGTAGTTCTACCCTAGACATAGCATTTGGTTTCCTGAGGGATCATTGTGACAAAGGCATTCGGCATAACCACGGAGAGAAGAAGTTACCGAGTCACTCAGGCCAAATGAAGCTTACCATGAAAAGCCATGCTACCTACGCTTGACGTTTCCGTTCTTTTTTCTTTTCAGAGAGAGCGAGTGCGCATGTACATATGTGGAGGGGGAGGGGGACAGGAGGAGGGACAGAATCTTCAGCCAGCTCTATGCTCAGCACAGAGTCAGGCGTGGGGAACCATCTCAAAACCCCGAGGCAGTGACCCGAGCTGAAATCAAGAGTCTGACACTTAACCAACTGAGCTACCCAGGGGGCCCTTTGCTTAACCTCCTTAAGCCTCAGTTTACTCAACTCTAAAATAGGTATAATAAAACCTTTCTCAAAATTCACGAGAATTAAATGAGATATTATAACTTAGAACAGCGCCTGGCACACAGTAAGTACTTAGCTTATGATATGGTGGTTATTAATCATTACATTAATAATGTTGCTCTTACAACATAGATGATATGGAGAATTAGAAACAGAGATGGGCAACATAATCCACGAACAATTTTAATTCTCTGATGGGAGAAAATTGAAACTCTGACCCAAAAGGCATTACCAATTCCAGTGAGCATTGCACTTGGGCCCTGAAAAAAAAAATCATTTAAACATTATCCCAAAATGCATTTGCAAATTACTCTTGCCAGAGGCAAGGTTCTTGGATGCAGTGAATTACCATCCATTTTTTTTTTTTTTTCCCCCTACCAGACATTAAAGACAGGACTGCCAAGGGCTACTCTGGAAAGTCACTAATATTATACTTTTTATTATATTTGCCAATTTCACACCTTCCTCAACCCAACCACTAAAGTTGTGAAAAGTGACTGTAACCGGAAGTTAGTTCTTAGTTTTCACTGAAACTTATCAGTACCTAAAACATCTTTCTAAAACTTTCCTAAAAACACTAAAAACGAACCCATGTCCTTCCTTTAAATGACAAAGAACTTGTCTTTTTTGGGTAGCCTTGAACTTGATAAACTTAGCGTGGATTTCAGCAGCTGCTGGGACAGCGTCCTAGAGATTAACACGAAAGTTACAGTCTGTACTGAGGCACTGTGTCAGCGAATTGCTACGGGGGCCGCCAGCTCAGTTATGCTCCGTGGGTAGCTTTGGAGGGTGGCACCATGTTCTTAATACATTGAATACGATCCCATATATTGGTCACTTTTCTGGAGAAGTAAAGCACACCATTTACTTGAAAGGATATCCTTTGAGAAGGCCAGTGGTAGACCTGAAAGGGAACTTTTTGAACATTTAGTTGAAACTCTTTGATTTCCAGATCAGCAAACGAGTCATCTAAGTCTTGCCTAAGGTCAAATGGTCTGTTTCCTGGGGAAGGCAGGAAGCCCAGCTTCCTCACAGGGACTTGGTTGCTCCTCTCTGCTCCAGGAGCTTGGTTCCCACCATCCTCCTCTCCTGCCCATCCCCCACTCTGATTTCACAAGCATCCAGAAAAGGGGGTGCTGGAGTGTGATTTAAGGGAACGACCATCACACGGCCAGAGAGCGCAAGCTGGGGGAGACTTGCCTGCCTCAACCCAAGATCCAAGGAGGACCTTCTCCGTTTTGGGTCCCACCCGGTTCCCAGCAGCGAGAACTGTGCCTGGCCCACAGCAGGCCCTATTCATTGTTAAGTGTAGAAATGAATTAGGGAATCACGCAGTCCTGGGGATGCAGGGTGTCGCGCCCCTTTCTTTTCCATCTCTCTCCGGCAGTCCCCATAAAACGGGTAGACTGAGTCAGGAGGCGGCACGATGTACAGAGCGCCCAGTCCGGGACCGGGCCCCCCGAGCAGTTTCACAGGGTCCGCTCGTTCCCTCGTCTTCCTTCCCCGGGACAGGCTCTTGGGGTGCGGGGCGACGGGCCTCAGTACGTCTGCGCCGGATCGCGGGTGGGGGCAGGCAGCTGGGAGGCCGGGGAGAAAGGGCTGTGGGCGCCTTTCGGGTTACACGGGTCGGGTCCAGGGCCCCGAAAACCGCGCAGCTCTCGCACCCGGAGCGGCCGCTCTCGCGGGTCCCCGCTGGCCGCGGTCGGCTCTTCCGCGCGACTGTCCACGAGCACTGGCTGCAGCGCCGCGGCCGGGGGGCAGCGACGGGAAGAGGGACCCCCACCCGGGCCCCCGCAGAGAAAGCCGGCGGCCGCAGGGGCGCGCCGTGCGGGTCCCGCGGGTCTCCCGGGGGTCGGTGCAGGCCCCTGCGGCCCCGCCCCTTGCCCGCGGCCGCAGGGCGAGGTTCAAGTTCGGCCCGGGGCGCACGGTCCTGCGCCTCCCGCCCCGAAGCCGCCGGCGCGTCCCGGGGCCCCGGTGGAAGGCGGGCAGCGCCCAGAGGTCACCCGGGCGCGGGGTCACCCGGTCACGGGTCGGGCCACCACGTGGGAGAAAAGTTTCCAAGTCCGGCCGCCGGGTCTCTCCGTGTCCCCCAGCGGGGCCGAGGCCCGCCCTCGGGCACCCGCTCCCCTCTCCGTCGCCTGCGGTCGCGTCCGCCTCCCGGGAAGCCCCTCGCGGGTCCCCTCTCCCAAGTCCCTCCGCTCCGCCCCCATCGGTCCGGGACACACACTCCGGGAGCCTCCCGCGCGGGCTGCCCCGCGTCCGCGGCGGGGCTGGCGCCACGGGTCGAGGGACAAGTGTCCCGAGGCGGCTGCGGGGGGCGCGGAGCGGGCAGGGAACAGGGGCCCGCACGTGCCCCCGCGGCAGCCGGCGGGGTCATCTCCGCGGCCTGCACACCCCCGCGCGCCGAGTCCGCGAGGCCGCAGCGGTCCCCACGCGGGCAGCCCCTCCGCGCCCCCGCCCCCCCGGCCCCCCGGCGTTCCCCACTCCGCGCTCCCCTCCGCCCCCAGTGCGCAGGCCCGGCCGCCCCAGCGCGCATGCCCTGGGCTCGCGAGCGCGGCCAGCCCCCAGCCTTTTGCTTTCTACACACTCTACAACTGGGGAGGGGGCGGGGGCGGAGGGAGCCCGGCGGGCCACGTGATCCTGCCGGTCGGGGCCGCGGGGGCGGGAGCGCGCGCCGAGCGAGGCGCGGGGAGGGCGGGGGCGCGTGCGCGCGCGCGCGCGTGCGGGCGGGCGGGCGCGGGGCTGGGCTGAGGCGGGCGGCGGCGGCGGTGGGCCGGCCGCGGAGGGGGAGGAGCGGGCGCTGAGCGAGGCGGGCGGGCGGAGGATGGGGCCGTGCCCGGGCTCCCGCTGCAGCCGCCCGGGGACACGCCGCGCACCCTCCGGCTCGGGGCTCTCGCGGCGGCGGCGGCGGCAGCGCTAGCGGCGGCAGCGCGAGCGGCGTCCCCGGCGCTTCTGGCCGCGCTTGCCCTGGGGCTGGGCGAAGAGCGGCGGCGGCGGCGGGCGGCGGCGCCCCGGGGTCCCTCCCGCCGGGGCTTCCTTTCTGCTTTGCTCGTCGACGGACTCGCCCCCTCCCTCCTGCGAGCACGGGCGAGCTGGTCTCCGGGACCGGGGACGGATTTTCCTGAGGCGCGGGGGGGCGGGGGGCCGCGCCGGGGGCCGCTCCTGCGGCTCGTGCATCCCCCCCCCGGACCGAGAAGCGAGCCCCACGACTGCCCCGCATCCGCCGCCCTCCTCCCCCCACCCCTCCCTGGCTCGCCCTCCCCCGCCGCCCGCTCCCCTGTTATGTCCCCTCCCCAGGGGGTCTGGTCCCTCCGCGGGCGCTCGCGAGCCGGGGCCTCCCGTGGCCGCGTCCCCTAAAGGTCCGGGGGCCCGGGACTGAGTTCGCTGCGCGGCGTGCGGCGGCGGCGGGGGCGCTCCCGGCGGGGGGGTCGGGTGAAGTTCGCGGCCCCCACTTTCCCGCGACCTTCGCGGCCGCGCTGTCGGGGCGGGGGGCCGGCGTGCCCCGGGGGCGGGCGCGCGGCGGGGCATGGCCGCGGGGAGGGCCCCGCGGAGCCGCCGCGGCCCCTGATCAAAGCGTCCCGCTATCCTGATTTATCGCCCGCCCGGGAGTTATTTTTCCGCCTCCGGAGCAGACCCGTGCGTTCGGCCATTACTTTGCTCGGCGGCTCGCGGGCGTCTCCGACCCGCGCGGCCGCGGGGAGCCCCGCACTCGGGCTGCTCGCCGCTCGCCCTCGCCCGCGTCCCCCCTCCCTCTCCCCGCCCCTTCCCCCTTCCCTTTCTCCTCGCTTTCTTCCCCTCTCCGCCGTCTTTCGGCCGCCGTCTCCCCCGCGCCCTGCTCGGGGCGGAGGGAAGCCGAGGCGGGGGAGGGAGGGGTCGGTGTCAATTTTTTTGTGCGGCCGCGGCCGGAGCCTGTGGCGGGCGGGCGGCAAGCGGGGGGGGACCCCGGCGCGGCGGAGCCATGGATGGCCCGGCGCGGGGCCATGGACTCCGCAAGAAGCGGCGGTCGCGGTCGCAGCGAGACCGGGAGAGGCGCTCCCGGGGCGGGCTGGGGGCCGGCGCGGCCGGCGGCGGCGGGGCCGGCCGGACCCGGGCGCCCTCGCTCGCCTCGTCGTCGGGCTCCGACAAGGAAGACAATGGGAAGCCCCCGTCCTCCGCCCCGTCCCGGCCCCGGCCCCCGCGGAGGAAGCGCAGGGAGTCCACCTCGGCCGAAGAGGACATCATCGATGGATTTGCCATGACCAGCTTTGTCACTTTTGAAGCGCTGGAGGTAAGGGGACCCCCTCCCCCGCGGGCTGCCTTTATGCACGACCCCCCTCGGCTGCGCCCGGCCCCGCCGCCCCCCCCGCCGCGCTCCGCTCCGTCTGTCTGTCTGTCTGTCTGGGCCGAGGGCTCATTGTTGGGGGGGGGGCGGGGGGCGCGGGCGGACGGGCCGCGGGAGGGAATCGCGGAGCCGTGCCTGGTCTCCTCGTCTCCTCGTCCTCGCTCGCCTCCCCCCTGCGCCCCCTCCCCGCGCCCCCTCCCCGGCGGATGGGCAGGCGGAACGGGGTTCGGGCACCACAACAATGCGCCCCCTCCACGGAGAGCTCTGCCCCTACTCCTTCCTCCTCGCCCTCCCCAATCATGGCTTCTTGGCTGGTGGAAGTCTCCTGGCTGGGTTCGGGGCGCCTGTGGACGGTTCTGTGTGTGCTTTCTCCAGAGCCATACGTCCGTGCGCGCGTGTCCGCCCGGTGCACACCTCTCCTGCTCCGGTGTCCTCGGGACTGGGCACGGATGGGGTTTGGGGTTCCCTTGCCCCCCCTCCCCTGCTCCTTTTTTTTTTTTTTTTTTTCTTTTTGGTGAAGCTGGGGAAGGGGGCGTTTTCTCTCGGCTGGGAGAAAGGAGGGAGGAGGGGAGAGAGGAGAGGAGAGGCTGGAATATCCCTGTGTTCCGTGGGGGGCTCAGTTGCAGAAAGGGTTAATTACAATATCCTCGAGACACAGAGGCCCGTGTGTGTGTGCGTGTGTGTGTGTGTGTGTGTGTACATGAGCAGTTTGGTTAAAGGACAGAAAAAGGTACACCAGGGAGGACTGGTGGGAGGAAAGAAGAAAATCCTGGCTGCTGTCTGAAGGGCTTGTCACCGAATTGTCCCTCTCCCTCTCCTTTTTTTGTGTTTTCTTTTCTTTTTCTTTCTGATTGGCTTTGTGTGTGTGTGTGTGTGTGTGTGTGTGTGTCTTTATTCCTTGGGCACCTGCAGCGTTCATTTCCAAATGCACATTTTCCTGCCAGCCACCCGCTCCTTGGGGGGTGGGGGGGTGGGGGGGAGACTGTCCAGAGGCCTGGGGCAGACCGCACTTACCTGGAGGGATCAGATCTGCTGCTGGCCTCCGTCACTGGCCTCTACAGATGCAGCCCCCTTCCCCCACAACCTCCCTGTCCCCACCCCCACCACACCACGCACACAGAAGGCTTTGAGATTCTGCAGAGTTAGTCCCCCTTTCTGAAGCACAAAACCCAGACAGGAGTTGGTTTCCAGTCTTTCATGCACCTGATGCGGTGGTTTGAGGTTTCTGAAGGAAACTTTTCCCTTTCCCCCGGGTTTTTTGGGCTGTTACTATGGTATTGTTAGAGACGGTCAGATGCGAGCTTTGTTAATGACAGCTTAGGTCTCACATGCAGGAAGCGTACAGGTTGAGATCGCAGGGTCTGCATGCGTTTGGTGTCAGGTTTAAATATTTTTTAAAAAAGAAGCCTTCCTGTCAGGGCTGTCCTTTTCTGTTTGAACTGCTTTTTGGTTGGGCTGCTGGTGGTGATGGCGGTGCACGGCGGCCAGTGGTTGGGGAGGAAAGGAGGTTGGTGCTGGTGGTATTGGTGGCCATCGGTTTTGATGTCAGTGATTGAATCAGTTACCCTTTGGTTCTGGAACTGGTGATTTATTGGCTAAAATGGATCTTACGCGATTATTTTGAATGTTGAGGCTCACCACTTACTAGGATAATTCTGACTGTGGCTTTAACTTTGCCAAGGTGGGAGGGTGCTGTACAGTGGGACCTCTCTCTCTCTCTCTCTTTCTATTTGTTTCTCTTTCTCCCTTTGAAATAGGAATCGAAATGGCAGCATGTGTCCTGATAGGAAATGCTGCCTCGTCTGTGGTTGGTTTAGGACGTTCTGTTTAAGAGCTGGTTACAAGTGGTTCTGCTTTCTGCGTGGTTGTTCTGGGTGGCCGTGTGGCCCCTCGCGGTAAGTAAGTAAGAGGGGCCTGCAGTTTTCCCATGAACACTTTGAAGGCCAAGTAGAGGTGGATAATGACTTATGCAGTTGGTTTTTTATTGTTTCTACTTTTAATAAGTAGATATTTGACTGGGGTTGAGAGGTACACATCTGTCCATTTAGCTTTTGAGAGAAAATGTGCCCATTCTGGTTTTGGGGGGGGTTTACAAAAAAATTCGATTTTTAGAAAAGAGCACGTTTAGAGTGTAGCGTTAGTAACATTCCTTTCCTTGCTGTGGTTATTTTTTCTGCTACTTTTCCCAGATTCAAAACCCAGGTTACTTTGGTTAGCGGAATGCTGTGCTACCTTCATATTTAAGTATCATCTGCATATCTGTATGTAGGCCTAAAAGGTCTAACTTTTTAAAAAGTTTCCTTAAAACTTCACAGAAACATTTAAACACACACAAAAGTAGAGAGAGCGGTTTAATAAACTCTGAAATTCCCAACACGCAGGTTCAACAACTGCCAGCTCTCGTTTCATCCATATCCCACCTGCTCCCCCCTCCCAGATGGGATATGAGAAATAAGTAAATATTTCTATATGTATCTCTAAATGGTAATGACTCGCAAAGAAAACCCACCGGAAACTCAACAGTACCGTGATCACACCTAAGTAAATTAACAGCAGTCCCCTGATAATCTCAGCTGTCCGGTCAGTGTTCACATTGAAGAGGCCTGGCTAATTTTTTAGGAACGATATAAATAAACTTTTCATATTAAAAACACGCCGTGGGGAATAAAAAATCATCCTACATGTCTGGTTTGGTGGGAAAAGTTGGGTCTGTGTGCTGCTTATTACCTCCGTGCCCCTGTTGGGTGGGCGGACGTGTGCGTGTAGCGATCGTGGAACCCTCTGGTGTCTCACTGTTGCCGGTTGACAAGATTTACTAAACTATCACCACGAAATACGAGGATTTATTGGGAAATGGGCACGTAAACTATGAACTTGGACAGAAACATATGTTGATGGTGTGCTTATAAATGTTAGGAATTATTATAGATGCCAGGAGTTACTATAAGTACCTAATATGTTTTTGTGCCTTGTGTTTAGAAATGAAGTCAGTCGTCCCCATGCATCATCAAGGCTGCTGCTAGTGTGGTGTGATGAGAAACCAGAAATCTTGGCTTGCACGGCTGGGCTCGTGGCCTCTGCTGGTTCGGAGCAGTAGCTGGCAGACCCTGGAGTTGCGCACTTAGAGTGTTAATGGACTCAGTGTTTGACCCCATGATTTTGTCCTGAGTCGCTGATTTTGACTCCCCTTTTAAAGAAGGGGCTCCTAGGTCATGGTGACGTGTACTGATGGAAACTGTGGTTCCACTAATATTGCAGTAAAAGCAAGAACCTTGCCCAGTGAGAACCTGCATTTGTAAGCTGATTATTTTCAGTATCGTTTGGTCTTTATTTAAGATGATCAAAGCTGGAGGAGTGGTTGGAGAAGTCCCACGCTTTATAGGCAGGGAAACTGGCTGAGGTAGTTTCATATTCTGCAGGGACACTTGTCTCAAGTAATTGTGCCCTGAAGTTCAAGTATATGATTGTGAAGAGTCTCACGAGAGGAGATGAGAGGGTAGGTGAGGAGGCTAAAGTTGAACGTGGTGTTCTTTTCATTACGCATTTGAGAAGCACATTTACCGTTTGGCTAAGATACTGTTTATTTGAATATACTTTGAATGGTAGGAGGAAAGTGAATGTCCCCAGATACCATGCCTCATTTTTTTTTTTTAATGCCTTCCAGCCAGTGAAGTATAAATGGAAATGTTGAGGTTCTAGTACTGTTTGTACCCTGATGTGCCAGATAATACTGCCTTTCTGTTCTCATTAGGGTGTCTTTCTGCGTAGTCTTGATTAGGAAGACACTGGAACACCATGGCTGAAAATTTCACTTTGCAAATCTATCATTTCCCCTTCCTGTTACGCACTGGGTTTTAAGGGTAGCCCCTTCTGTTAGGCGGACCAAGGGAAGCAGAGATCAAGTTGGTGGGATTAGTAGACAGGAAGCCAGTTGGAGCTTTGCAGGCTTGTGAAAATGAAGGAAGACTTATTTCTGGTGGTTGGAGGATCAAACCGAGACTTCCATGTGGTCTTTATTTCCTAGTTGTTCAAGGGCTTACCTGCACATCGGCTGCATGAATAAGCTGTGTGGAACTTGGTGTACTTAGGCCATACCCTAATTTACTGGGGTCGAATCTCACTTTCGGTTGTTTAAAAAACATTAGTCATGTTCCTTGTATCAGCACATGTTTGTGGAGTGCCTAGACAGAGTGGAAAGAAACCTAAAATTATGTGGCATCTTGAAGGCATGTGTAGTTGATAAAGTAAGTCCAGCGCCTATTAAATGATTTCGGAGCAGGCGCTCGAATGTCTAGTAAGTGCAGCGAGCCTTCAGAGAAGGAGTAGTGACATCCGTGGAGCGTTTGGGAGGGCTTCTGAGTGAAAAGGGGGCCTCGGAAGTTGAAGAGGTTTGGATAGATCGGCGGGTGGGGAGAGCAGTCCAAGGAGGGGGGGATCCTGAGGAAGCACAGAACCACGAGGGTTGAGAAGGTGCTAATTGATCAGGGCTTGGGGGCAAGGAAGGGCTGGTAGAAATGAGTTAACAGAATTGTGTAAGCGGACTCCTGTGCAGACCCATGTTTCAGGCTTGGCCCTCCGAACTAGTTGACAACTTGGGGGGATTACTTTCTAGAAGCGCAATTTTCTTCATCCCTTCGTTGAGAGGTTTAGACTAATTTTAGAACAAAGGTACCCAAGATGGAAGGGGAGCTAGCTAGCTCTGCTGGATGCTCCTAAGTTGTGTTCCAGATAAAAAAAATGTGATCTGTCCTCAAGTAGTTTTGGAACTTGAGGGGGAAGACAAAATTAAATGGGTGTCTTGTTCTGCCAGAATTAAGTCTTTTTATTATGCAGACGTGAATTTTGAATATCAGAGAAGGCAGTGCTATGTGCCTTATTCCTAAACTTACTTGACCACAGGGCACTCTTGTTCTTGGCATGGTAACCCGTAATCCAGTATGGGGAAT